GATACAGTGAAAATAATTCGAGAAACAAGTCGATTACGGAATATTGGGTCACAATACTCGGAAGAGTATGTACCGGGCAGAATTGTGTTCCACGGAACCTGCTTTGAAGCTGGTTGCGTGTACTGGTAATAATGTGTTAAGAAAGTGTACACAGCTACCTGGCCAGCTTGTGACACAGATCATTATGTCGCGTATCTTACGATTCCGATATTCTCATTCTCATCCGAACATAAGTTACCTGCAATTGCAAGATAATTTAGTCGCCCCTTCACCTGAGTCTATTGCATGTGCTTTTAATTCTTTCTTTAGCTCTTTTGTGATCATCGATGCACCCCATGTCTCCGTTTTTTCTGCTTCTTCACTTGAGTCTACGCTATCCCATATAGAACTGCAGGTTCCTGAGCTGACCAAACCCATTCTTGCAATTAAACCTTCTACTCGGCTTGGCACGGATGAAATTCCTTCGGTGCTGCTACGCTCTGGTGGGCCAGACATTTGTGTTTTACTGTTAAACAAATTTGACCTCTCACTGAAATATGGCAAATTTCCCAGTCAATGGAAAATTTCTACCATAATTCCACAACACAAAAAGGGCCCCCTACATGACCCCTCCAATGACCGCCCCATTAATCACACCCCCATTGCATCGAGACTTTTCGAGCGCCTGGTTAAGAAACATGACTGAATACCTTCTTTCAAAGAAGCTTCTCCACGATGGTCGACATGGTTTCCTGCAAAACAGGTCGTGCAACACCTGTCAACTTGATTTCCTCAACTTAGTCACCAAAGCAGGGGACAACGGAAAATCCCTGGTGATAATATTTTTTGATATGACCAGGGCGTTTGATCGTGTTTCACATGCGCGGCTCGTCAATAAACTGTAAACATTTGATTTCAAAACCCCTATTCTGAATTGGTTCTCCTCCTGCCTCTCCAATCGCACCCAGTTGGTGTGTCGATGGCCACTTTTCCTTACCTACCCCTGTTACTAGTGGTGTAGTCCAATGTAGTGTTTGGGGCCCCTCCCTTTCCTCATGTAAATTAATGACATCTTCCCCATTGTCCACCATGGTATACTTTTTTATTTGCTGATGATATAAGTATAGTGTATGCGTTCCAACCACATGAACTCAATCATATTATTACCTTAATACAAAATGATCTCCTCAGGCTCAACCAATGGTGCCGCAAATGGACCATGGCGTTTCCGGCTAATAAGAGTACCTTTATGACTTTACGATGCCGTATCCCCCCGCAGTCTTTCCTACTACAAGGCAAACCTATCACCTACAATCCCTCAGTACTTGATCTTGGAATACATTACTCACACACGTTGAACTTTTCCGAACATGTCTCCTTTCAAATCTCAACAGCCAAAAGATGCATTGGCTCCATCAATTGATCTCTTATACTTCCCGAATCTAAACTGCTTTCCCACCACTCTTTCGTAAGACCATGCTNCCGTAAGAGCGATAAAATAGCGTTGGAAAATGTCCAGCGTTCTTCTACCAAACATTTACTAGGATATACTTCCTAGCTTAAATCTAAGGATCGGTGCGCCATCCACAACATAGAACCCCCATGGCTACGCCGCATAAAGCTGAACCTCTGATTACTACACAGTATAATCCACCATCGAATTTCTTCTTCATTGAGTGCTCCAAGCACATTTTCGACACCCGCATATTCCTTGCATAAAAGTAGATCCCGACTACCGATTCCTAGGACTAGGCTCTCCCTTAGATCAAACTTCTTCCTGATAAAATACGCAACACGTATTTGTGTACACTTTCTTAACCCATTATTACCAGCACACGGAGTCAGCTTCAAAGCTGGAATCGTGCAACACAATGCAGTCCGGTGCATACTTTTACAGATATTGTGACCTAACTTCCGTATTTGACATGTTCCTCGAAATGCTTTCACTCAATCGTCTCCGTTCTCGTCCGTGGCACATGCTAACCAGGTACCTGTGTACACTATCTTAACCCATTATTACCAGTACACGGATTCAGTCTCAAAGCTTGTTCTGTGGAATTCAAAATTCTGGTGCGCACTCTCGCAAGCATTTTGTTGTCTTACCGCGCTGAAACTTCTCTATATGGCCTTACATCTTTATTCACTCCGGTACCCTATCATTTTAGTACGTGCTATGTGTGCACTTATTATTAGTATTGTTTCGTCGCATGCTCCGTTTTCCCATCTCTTTTCCCTCTTCAGCTGGATATTACCCCAGACTGCTGCATATCGTCTTTTTGTTTCAGATTCGGTTGTCTTGGGCCTGCCGAAGGCTTGGGGTTCTCACCCACAATGGACAATTTGGCTCCGGCAATGGTTGTTGGGCACGACTGTTCCCACCGTTTTGACTACATACATCCGCGTTCCGGACCAGGTTGAGGATCACACCCTGCCTCACCTACAAGGTGTTTTAAGGTTAGATGTCTAGCGCGTAGTTAGTCCCACATCAAAGCGACCAACGCCTAATTAATTCAAATAATCCAAATCACTCCTTGATCGATTGAAGCCCCGAACCCAATGAACTTGTCTCCAGAAGCGAGTTGTATTGCAGCATAAAGTGACATATTTCTCTGGCCGTATTCCTTCCTTTCTATTCCTGTCCTCATGCCTCCACCATCAGGCAGCATTTGTTCCACAGTCCACCACTCCGTATTTCCCCGCACTGTTGCCGTACGTCCAATCCTTCCGACACCAGCTTTACTATTACTTTCAGTTCTAGTGACATGCATTTCCAATGCATCCTCCATCTTTCATAAATTCGTCGGTGACCTTGTCCAGTTTGTGTTCCGTTCACACTGTGTTTTCGTTCTGATCCCCTCCATTTTATTGTCTACCCATGTACTTACACTGTTATTGTACATATACTCGCTCTGAACATTTGATCATGCCTTGTGCATGTATCACGAGCTTCGTGAAATATACACCTAATAATATTATTATAGTAGGTTTGTTAGACATGATTTCCGTTTAAGAAAGCCATGCTGTTCTGCTGAAATTATCTCTTTTAGTTCCAAGTGTGCTTCTATCTGCTTCCTAATTATCCTCACCATGATCTTTAGGACCACTGATAACCGACTCACTGGCCAGTAGTTGTTGACGTTTCTCCTTCTCCCCCTTGTGTATAGGAACAACCTCGGCTAACTTCCAGTCCGTGGGTAACTCCCCTGCGAACAGTGGCTGGTGAAACAGTTTGGCTAGGAGTTCGGCCAACACTTCAGTCAAGGGCTGGATAAACTCCATCCGGTCCAGCCGCTTTGGACTGTTTTAGTTTCTGAAGCTCTTTTTACCTCTGAGGGGCTTATGATAAATTCCGACAAATCGCCTGTCACTGTTGAAGATAGATTCTCAGGTTCCCTCCCGGAATCCACCCAGTGCACCCTCTCGAAAAGCTTCCTCAAAACGTCTGCCTTGCCACAGATTGTGGTTGATTGGCTGCCCGTGGCATCGGTGATTCACCCTACCGTCAATCTGAATGTTGTCTTGCATTAAACATAGTTGTAAAAGACCTTCGGACACGTCCGGGCCTTTTCTAAAAGATAGAATTCGTATTGCAGGCGACGAATAAATTGAACTCGCAAGGCTTTTTCACTTGTTCCTTTGAAGATCGTTAAACGGCCGTGGCCGTTTATTTCCGTGAATACCGTCAGGCTCTCCTTTTCTATGCATTGCGCCCTGTGAGCCCTCCCCGTCCACCGAAGTGGATTTCCCTGTCGACTTACTCTTCTCGTAGGATCAAACAGGTCCGTCAGTGTAAATATGCTGCCCTTGATGACGCCCCAGTCGTCCTCTCCCGATATGCCCTGCCCCTTCCAACAGATAGCCAAGGCTACCTGGACGGACTGCTACGATCTAGTTTCCCAAAAGTTCTTAGCTTCTGAGGTGGAGGTGGTAGGTGATCGCGGTATGCAAACCAGATCACCCCATGGTCACTCCTGCCCAGTGGCATCCTAACGTCAAGACCGTCTACATCATTCTGGCTTTTGGTGAGTCTAAGTCTAGGAGTCCAGGTTTGTGGCCCTGTAGCCATCTTCTCGGCTGTTGTACATGCCAGTGAAGGATCTTTACCATTATGTACTTCGTCAACCTTGCGCCAAATGTACCAATCTGTGCCCATTTGTCTTCCCATCGAATCTCCGGAGCAATAAAGTCCCACATTATTATTGGCCCCTCATTGCGCCAGTTTACTAGATTTCAGTATCCTCTTCGTGTGATGAGAACGAACTTTTGTACATGCACAGTATTTGTGTGATACACCCATGAGTCCTTCCCCGGCATGCAAGTGCCTGGATGTTCGGCGTTACTAGTTTAGCTCCTGATACTTGCTCAGTGCTCTCCTGTAGTAGTAGGGCAACTCCACCCCCTTACTATACCATCCTCTCTATCAACTCGGTGTAGCCTGTAGCCCAAGGGACCTGCGGTAACTGAAGGAAAGCTACTTTTCAGCCATGTCTCCGTGATGGCCATGCAAGCGCATCCTGAGGCCTCTACTCAGAGCTCATTCTACTCATTTCCTACATTGCATGCGTTTGTGTAGAGTACCCAGATTCCATTGGGCTTCACTGGCTTCTGGTTGTGGCACTCGGAAATTAGTTCCGAGTGCCCGGTCTGTATTTTGCTTTCACCCCCTTCAGTGAGGCCGGATATACTTTCTTATGCAAGAGGGACAATTCGGCTTTCAGGCTAGGGGTAACCCCTCTATCTAAGCAACTACACGCAACTTCAGCATAGGTTAACGATGGGCTACTCCCCTGGCTGGAGAGGTGTGTACTGAGCCTCGTAGTTTGAACCATCAATGTGCGTCCCCAACTGTGCCATAAGGGATTGCTGGTTTTTTCCCTCCTCCACCTGGTTGATTGGTCGGGTTTCACCCGAAAAGTGTCTTTGGTGGCCACGCGCACCATTGCAACCGTTGCCAATAACCCGACCCTGACCCTGCGGTTAGCAAATTTAACCCGTAATGGTCTTGGGCTTCTGGTCTCACTGCATGGGTTTCCTTCCCATTTTCCTAGCCTGACTACTCTTTTAATGGTAAGTGCGCAGCAGCCGAACGCGGTTTTATTCAAACATTCAAGGTCCTTTGATGAAGCCTCATTATCCAATCCGTGAACAAAATCCCAAATGGATACATCTGTCACTCAAAGTTATTTCGCTTATTAAACACCTTCAACATAACGCCAGATTCCCGGGAAAGCCGACACTCAAAACAAAATGAGGGGAAATTTATTCAACATAAAAAATAAAAATTATTATTCATTATGATGTAGGATTCAAGTCTCGGTAAGAAAATATACCAATCGACGAATACGACATAAAAATAACTTTTGTCAGCTTTCGAAAAGTGTCCCATAGTAAAATTTTAAAACTAACTATACTCTATCAGTAAGATCTGTACTTTCAAGCTCGCATGGTTTATGAGTACTTCGTGCGCATTATTATGGATAATCTTGGGATAGCATAAAACTTTTGTAACCGCGTGCCCATACACTAGTCCGCCAATTCTCTTTCATTAAAACGGTCATTCCACTTTGGAATATTCTCCCTGATAAATTAGTTTATGCCCCCACAAAATCTGCTCTCAAAAGGAATCGAGACCTAAACCTTGGTCCAGTCCCTGAACAGAATTGATTGCTCAGAGACAAGTAACTCAAATGGGCTTGACCCTAAACGGGCCGTTTTCAGTCACTTTAGGCTTTTGAACTCCACGCTCATCGACTAGGGCAATGCACACAAACGTATGCTTCCTATTCACTGTAAGCAGTGCAACTAGTGTGTGTTCGTCACCCGCATTACTGGTACTGGGTTTATTGTTGCCTCTCGTCCAAATCGACCGCGTTTCACGTACATTTGCAGACACTGCAACAATTCGGCTTCATCAGGTGATGTCGGATTGGTTTGCCTTCTGCTTTTGGCGTCCAGTTTGTACTTTTCTGATGTCGTTGTTGTCAGTCTTCGGAACACAGCATGCTCCAGGGGTCACCTAGGACTATTTCGTCGTCATCACTGTCGACTACTCCATTCACTAAAACTGATTTCCGCTTTTCTATCGAACCGCTTGTTAAAGCTACTTTTGGATTATCGGCCCTGACCTTGACGCTCGTAGACGGAAGAAAGGTACGCTTACTCTCCGTAGTCTGTGTTACCGACTATCAAATAAAATCTCAATGTCTGGTTACTGTTCCATCATAGCT